GAAGAGAGGAGACGGCGAAGCCGTATGTTATCTGCAAGATGCAGGCGTCGACCCTGACCCAGGGTGTGTACCGTAGACGATAGCGCGCAACTATATACCCTTGTCAACGGTATGACGGGCGAGAAAGACGGTGACGTCACCCTCGAGGCTATATGCGCGATGGATGCTCTTCTTGAGCTGGACGAGATGTCCTTCGAAGAGTTTAGCGGTGCCTTGAAGGTAGGCAATTCGCCGAGGTGGTCATTATAAGACCAATCGAGGATACTAACTCATCTTCTGCTTCATCTTTGGATGAAGCTGTCCTGTAGGACGCTAAGAAGTCGCTGAACACACGAAGTGGGTCGTCGATTCTGAAGGATCCTCCGGGCCCGTTTTATCTTTTGGTGAAGGAATTTAAGGACGACCCCCATCGGTCCTACTTCCGAACCGAGGGGTGCGTCATGAGATCAACCTGGTTCCAGGAGCCAAAAACTGCGTTATACATTTATGGTCCCTGCCCAAAGAGCAGTGTGACGCCATTGACGCCTTTTTCCGTGCAAAGCACGACGCAGGAATGGAGCGTGAGAGCAACTCTCCCCATTCGACACCCATAATTTGTGCCCGGAAGCCGAACGGCAAGTAGCGTATCGTTCAAGCTTATGATAAGCTAAACGCTGCCACCATTCTCGCACAGACGCCAAATCCTAGAAAGGATGTTTTCAGAACAATATGGTTGACTGTACAAAGTACAGTGCACTCGACTTGGTCGATGGGTATTAAAAATTGCTCATAAGAACGAGTGATATTCCGCTGACAGCGATGAGTACTCCGAGCATGATGCTCTGGAAATGGCTGGTGATCCTCCAAAGGCTGTCAAATCCACCAGCAACACTTAATCGTCTTGTGACGCAATTATTCAGGCCCCACCGGGCGTATGCATAAACATACTTCGACGACATCTTCGTCCACAGTCGTGCGGGGTACGAGAGAACAATGAACCAATACTGGCGTTGCCAGACCCCGATCGTTCTCCGATGTGTCGTCTATGACGCTTTGCACATTGTGATCTGTTGTGCACTCTGCAAGCAGACGTCGAGGATCGAGTTGGGTGATCGCGTTCGAATCTTGCGAGCTTAAGGCTGCGGAGAAGAAAAACCCAGTCTACGAATAGGAATTACTTGCGATAAAGTTTGCACTTGTTAAGTTTAGAGTCCACCTGCTCGGCTTAAAGCCGGTTGTGATCTACACATATCATGCATCACTACGCTCTACGACTCAGTCGCCTCACCTTTTGCAGAGGATGACCCGGTGGCTCTCTTTCAAAATATAACTTTGAGGTGAGGTATAAGCCAGAAGAACAGATTGCTTTGACTGTTTCGTTGTCACACAGACCGAATTTTGAGCTTGCTCATGCCGCAATGGTGACGTCGTCAGAGATGAATTTGATCCGCTGGTAATAGTATGTGTTTAGCACTGCTAGCGGCACTCGGAAGCAAGGAGTTTTGGAACTCGAACGAGAAATTGTCGGCGCGATTGCGCGCACGGTAACACCGATTCGGTTTGGCAACGGCCACAGATATGAATGAGTTCTGTACTTTCATCAATTCTTGTCTTAGAGGCGGAAGTATCACGTGCGATACTGCTTCGAGTGGATACTCACCGTGATTTACGGGCTCGACAACACCTATACATGCTGGGAGAAAGACACTTGACCAACACATGCTCCTTCACAAGCGTTCGCTATGATTGCTGTTCGTGGCATATTCCCTCGCACTTGTTTTTTTGTATCTAACATACCGAATGCAATAGCGGACTCATGGAGATCTACAACGTCCAGCAAAATCGGTAGCGCGATACTCGATACCCCATCGTCCTCAACAAACTCGACGGGCTCAACAGATTCTTCTTCTTCCTCCTCGCCAGATCTTCGTGCCGATACCTCAAGCTCTGGCATTTCTGGCGGATCAAGCTACGATCTGATTCTGTACGGAGCTATCGGGTTTGGCGATATGCTAGTTTTTGGTGCCGTTGTTTTCCTCTTCTTCGAAAACGCAAGAATAAACGTCATCCTGACAAAAGCAATACATTTGGTGCGTACAAAATGCGGTGGACAAGTGAATGCGTGGCGTATCCAAACGTGATGATAGTTCTTATCGTCCATACAATAACATTTTGGATACGAGCAAAGTCAACTACGTCTCCGGTATCAATCCTGGCTACGGTCGTTACAGCAAAAGATCGAGACATGAACGGTAAGATTCTTCTTCCCGCGGACCCATCGGCAGAGCTCGGGTTGCTGTATTATAGCACCAATTTGACGGATACGCCACAAATTATGGTTCCTCACGATGTGGATTTGAAATACCGTATCCTCTATGAGGCCCACAACACCCCACTTAGTGGTCATCTAGGTCGTGAGAAGACGTACAGCTCTGTGATTTGACACGACTGGTGGCCCAAGCTGGACAAATGGATGAGCACCTATGTGAGCATATGTGAGACTTGTCAGGGGGTGAAACCCTATCTGAATGCGGCGGTGCCGCTGGCCAGTTTGCTGGTCTCCTCTGGGTGTTGGCATCATGAGTTTGGACATTGTGTCTGGCCTACCGAAGCGTTAGGCGGGCAACACGGGTGCGGTGGTCTTTGTGGACCGTTTGAGCAAGATGACTCCTCTTGCGGCAGTACCGGACACCATCGACGGTGTGGGTACAGCGACGCTGTTTGTGGATCATGCCTTTCGATGGCCCGGACTCCCGGAGTCAATTCTCCCTGATAGAGACCTACGTTATCCTGGGAAGTTTTGGTCTACAATCTTTAGGCTGCTGGGCACCAAGTTGTCTATGTCAACAGCGGACCATCTGCAGGCCGATGGTCAAATTGAGCACGTGACTCGCGTCGTTGAAGACGTCCTTCGCAGCGTCTGCGCTGAGACGCGGAAGCGCTGGAGCGCCGTGCTGCCACTTGTGAAGTTCGCTCTGCACAATGCAGTGCATGCGTCTACCGGCTACACGGAGCTATACGTGAACGGGCAATTTAATCATCGCGTCCCGCCGACGCCGCCACCCCATGGCTTAGGACTGGGTGGGGGAGAAATAGCCGAGCGGCTAGCTGATGTCAGATCCCTCACTGTCCGTAAAGAAGTCGATGATTTCCTGTCTACTAGACGGAGTGTCTTACGACACGTTTGCCATGCAATGGCTGAAAGCAAGCCATGCAGAAACAATATGCAGACAGAAGAAATGCTGATAACTGTGAGGTCGGAGACCTGATTTTTGATGCTAAAAGCCTTCTATCAAATGCAGTTTCTGCTGTTCTTAAGACGAAGCTCCGTCCACGACTTCTCGGACCTTTAAAGGTCATGGACAAGCGAGGCCTTGCGTATATACTAAGCCTTCCGAGAAGGATGCGCACTCACCCGGTGTTTTATGTGGGTTTGCTTAAGCCGTACCGGGATTCGGCGCAACTGAAGATGGAAGCGTTGGCGCCGGGGCGGCGCCCAAAGGCGCTCAGCCACCCAAAAGCTGAACCAGTAACTGCTTATGAACACGGAGTGCAGCAGGTTCTGTTTCCAACGGCGCAAGGCGCTTCACCGTCGCACGAAGTGAAGTATTCGTCCGCTAGACGGCTAGGAGCCGCTCCGGCAGAGCGCGATAGTCCTCAACGTGGGGGAGTCGGTGCACAAAGTGCTTCAAGCACTAGAAGTCTCCTGTACAGCGATATTCGACCTCGGCAAGATGCTCGGCGGAGTGCCGATGACGACGGAGTTTGTCCTCCAGAACTCAATGACCACCGCGAGTCACCGGACGACGATCGACTTGGCCGTCATCGTCTGCAGCCAAATCTTCTCGACTAGAACGGTGGCGTCCACTATCACGTGGGAAGCCTTGTGGGTCGACGTCGTCGACAGGGTCAAACTCAATATCTTGTGAAGTGGCGGGATACCCAAACTCCAAGAACTCGTGAGAGTCTGGGAGCCACTTCGGCAATACTGCCCAAACGTCTCGGGTACTTGTAACCAGAAGGATAATGACGCTTCGCGTCGTCGCGCGCATCGTGCTTCTCGGCAGTAGCCCGGGAGGCCGGAGGGTCATGAGCTGAGCTCAAGCTATGGCCCTGAGCTGCTGTAGTCGTAGACTCACCCGTGTGAGAAACCACAGAGCTCGCGGGGGCTTCATAAATTGCTCCATATGTTGCAGGGCGACAATACGCAGGAAGTCGGCGTTGCGCCTTGAGTGTTGCTGGTGCATTCGACAGCCGTTGGGGAATCACCAGCCACTCGCTCTCATGAGCAACTGATAATTCCCATAGGCCATGCTGAGTACACTCTAATTTGTACAGCCAACCATATTGCTCTGGGAAACATCCTTTCTAGGAATCGGCGTATGTGCCGGTAAGCGTGAACGATACGCCAGCTGCCGTTCGGCTTTCGGACGCAGAACGTAGGTGTCGAATGGGAAGACTTGCGCTCACACACCATTCCTGCGTCGTGCTTCGCACGGAAAAAGGCGTCAATGACATCATTTGGGCAGGGGTCATTGGTGTATTACGCAGTATTTGGTTTTCGGAACCAGGTCGATATCATGACGCACACCTTGGTCCAGAGGTAGTACCGATTGCGGGTCTTTGGACACGACATTATGAAATTTCTTTACCAAAAGATCGTACGGATCCGAGGAATTATTTAGAATCGACGGTCACTCTCGTACGCTCAATACCCTCTTGATACGGCTTCATCCAGAAGCGACGACGAGTTAATCTCCTCGTTCGGTCGTATAATGACCACCTTGGCTAAATCGCCTGCCTTCAAGGCACCGCTAAACTCTTCGAAGGACATCTCGTCCAGCCCAAGAAGCGGGGATAGCCTCGATGACGTCACCGTCTTTCTCTCCCGTTATACCGTTGACAAGGGTATATAGCTGCGCGCTATCGTCTTCGGTACACACCCTGGGTCAGGGTCGACACCCAGCGTCTTGCAGCTAGCATACGGCGCTGCCGTCGCCTCTCCACAGGGGTTTTGCGTCTCGGCGAGACCAATGAGAACACACACTCAGCGTCGTCCAGTTTAGCCCCATTTCCTGATCTACCGGAGCCCTGATGTTATTAAAAACATCCGAAGAAGAGCTGCTATTTCCGCAGTCTTTGTCCAGTGGATAACGTGCCACTTCACGTGTATCTGAACGGTCTTGCCCAGGATGCCTCGTTCGACCATGCCACTTGTGACATGCAGCAACTGCTTCGAGACGTGAGTAGTACTTAAAAAGGTTACGTGCCACTCCGTGTGCATCCCAAGGGCCCTGCCCTCGATGCGTCGACCCTTGGCTGACCATGCCGCGCATGGCATGCAGCGACTGTTCGATACTTGAGAAGCACTCAGTGGGTTACGTGCCAGCCCACGAGCCATGCTCGGAACTCCTATCCGATACACCTCGGTGTTCGACAACTCGGATACTCCGATATCCAGCACCTCGACCTTCCCGGTCCAGTGCCCGCGCCAATAGCGCTTCTGCTTCCTAGCAGAGGTGGGATCATGACTCACCAAAGCTCCACCTGGAATCGTGCTTTTAGCGCCCAAGGTCTTCGACCTCCAATCAATCCATGGCTCATGGCAGATCAACTATGCCATACCAAGGATGCGGTCATACCTTGATTCCAAGTTTCAGACTAAGCAGCGTTCCACGCTACCAAAGTCAAGAAACTTGACAACGAGGTCCACAGGGACCTTAGTCACCGTGATACATCTCCCCGTCGCAAAGCAAACAGTGGCGATGTCACTCAACCGCGCTTTCAGTGCCTCAGCATGCAGCTGGCTTCCTTCGTTCGTGGAGCGTCGAGCATAATTGCCCGATGCCCCGAAGCCGATCAAAGCCTTCCCTGGCTTCTCCAAGCCCATAATGGTCGCTTTTACGACTAGCAAGCCCGGCTTGCATACATGTTTAGTGTTCAAGAGCGCGGAGCTCTTCGGAATCGGGCCCTGCTGACCTCTACATCCTTGAGGCTCAACAAACTCAGTTCTCCCCAGTAGGGCGCCCCGCGCCTACTGGTTGTTCTCGTTTTCCCGCGACAAACCAGACGATTGATGAGAAGCGGGACGTCGGTTCGATGAACCTTGATGCGCCTTGCACAGGGGACAACCAGTCCGAAGGTGACGGGTGTCTCTACAGACAAAACACCGTCGAATATTCGAACGCTGCTCGGCAGCTCGGAGCTTTGCCTTCTCGTCCTCAGCATAGCTGAGATCCATTTGCTCAGGCCCGCTCGACGAGTTGCTAGGGTGTGCATTCCAACAAAGTCGTGCTGACTTAAAGTTGATTTCGGCATTCAACGCCACAATCACTACTTCTCCAAAAGAAGGCGGGTGCACACTGGCGACTTCCATTCTGACCACGCCAGTGCAAAGGCCCTCCATAACGACGGTCACTTTGACCGCCTCGGGAAGAGGATTGGCTGCCATCCCGGCAACGAGAGTTCTCAACTCTGGGAAAAAGGCCACCAGGTGGCAAAAACATTCGTGAAAGCTGCAGCTTTCAGCTCCGTCTGGGAGATAAACTCGCTTCGACCGAAGAGCCGCACTTCAGTGCTCATTCTCGCGCTCAACCCCCGAGCTTGAAGATATCTAGCGCCGCGCTCTGTTGCTCGGTCTGGAGCATGGCGGACGCCATAGCCTTCTTGATCTTTTATCTAGAGCAGGAGATTCGCTCAATCCTTCCCCTCGAAGGTCTTAGCACTCACTATGAGTGGCTTGGGTCGGGGGAAGTCATCTGTCGCCGACGGTGGAGTCATGGGAGCAGTCGAGGCCGACATCTTCTGCTGTAGGTGCTCAGGCGGAGCATTTTCATAGCTTTAGAACGCCTCTAGGCGCGCGTTGATCGCCTCAGGTCCTTGCAAAGCGAGGCATTGCACGCCCTCAGGGCCATGCAGAGGTATCGGCTTTTTAAGCCCGCTGGGCCAAATAGAAAAACTGCTCCATTCTCACGGAAGGTCAGTCAGAACGACTCAGATGTAGTTTGACTACAAGTTTTACCAAGTGCAGCGGGGCTGCCGTAGCTCTTTTGCTTATAGAAAGCTTAGTTAAGGTCGCGTAATGGGCTTCTCTTAGCGATTACATAAAGGTGCATTCATGTACATTCTATATGCATGGTAAGATGATACTTCCAAATGCACACGTAATTTCTTATATGAAGTTACAAACATACTGTGTGATTCAGAATGCTGGTTCCTACTTGCGGGTCTGTACTGGTAACGAGATCGACATGTCTCTGTCTATAGAAGTGGGTGGCGTAAGCCAGTCTCATCTACCGGATACTTTCACGAAATTTGAAGCTCAAGCTTACGAAGTGGATGGCGTAAGCCAGTCCCCTCTAATGGATACCGTCCACGAAAGGTGAATTTCAAGCTTTCGAAATGTAAGCTCCGTACACCCAATATCTTTTACTAGTTGAAGCTGAGGTCGATCTCAGTACACCCTTAAACTATAAATCAGGAACCCAAGGTCTTATTAATAAAACCTACAGGAGCCCTGGGGGCATTCTGCATGTAGCTAGGAAACATAAGTTATTTTTGTTCAGTTGCAAATTTGCCTTAAAACGCTTAAGTCGTTCTTCATCGTGACTGTCCTTCTCCGTCCACGTCGGGAATCGCTTTCGCGTCGCACAAGCGTGTGTGTTGTGTTTGAGGGACTGTTTGTGAACAGCGCCCTCTTACAGATCGGCGACATTCGTTCCATACTTAGTACCAGTACGAGTGTAGCGGATCGCAATCCGCTTACTTCAAGAGTAACGACAACCTTAACCCAAGGCTAATTAGCTCTTCCGTTTATAATATAAACTATCTCTGCAACACACTGTTTGGAATAGGATCGGCAAGTTGCAAAACCTCCGAAACACTTGTAGCAAAATCATTAATTAACACGCCTCGCCTCACACGTGAAAATTTGTGCATCGTTTGCATACAATTGCACGATGAAATCAACATTAGAATAGAGATTGGCTTGCATCAGATTTCTCGGTTTTATCTGCGACAAAGTCGCCTATATCTAAATCTGTAGGTTTTATTATCTATATAGTAAACCTGATAAAATGTTACACTGCAGCCACGCATTTTGTGTGACCCCGTTATATTTTCTCGATTAGTAAAAGTTCACATTGGACTAAATACACTCTTTCTATGGCAGAGCAAAGTAAACACCAAGTACTTTTGAGACTCTTGCTTTTCCCATGAACGAATTCAACCTCTGTGAGCTGTGCACGCGTAGTCTTGAAACAAAGTTAACGTTTGGCTGAGATGAGTGCCAATGTATTAATTCCATTTATAATTCTATTTCATTTTGGAAAATAAACTTATATTGTGTACATACATAAATGTGCGTCTTTTGTGAATATTTGTAAGTGAACTTTGTATTTTCCCAATCAGAGTTGCAGCATGATTGACTTTCTAGTGCCGCTTCACGCGGCAGATCTGGAACTGGCCAAGACGGATAGATATCATGTGCAAACGGTGCTAACGTTTGACGATGAGGCGCCAGCAGAAATTTCAGCCCATTTACAGCGACTGGAAAATCAGGTGCTGGGCAGTGAGGGGGGGCTGGACATACTGCAGGAGGAGTGGCTGGATTTGACGTATAGTCTTGTGAAAAAGTTACCAGCTTTATCTGATCAGCTTCGTATGCGAGTAGTGGAAATGCTGGCAGCTTTTGTTAGTAATGTGACCGAGAGCGCGCTAGCTCGACGGCTGGGCAGCGACGACACGGATGACGTAATGGAGTACCGTAATGCATTCAAGGCCAGTATCTACTTTCTTACCACGGCGCTTGTGAGCGTCAGTACTTTGCAGTTGCAGTCAGAAAAAGACATTCTTAAGCACAAAGGCAAAGCCAAGGGCCAAAATTCGGCAATAAATCGCATCAATTGGAGCAAAGTGGTGGAGGGAGCTATACAGAAATTAAGTCGCTCTGTTAGTCCAAAGACTTTTTCCATGTGGAATATGAACGTGCCTGAAGAGGTAAGTAGAAATCGGGGCGTTGAACTCGCTATAATGAATAATCTGTAGGGCACATACTTATTGCTATAATTGTTACTAAACTACAGGAATTTTCCATGCTATATTGCAAAGTTGTTTTCGAATTGCTCGGAAATGCAACGCTCTGTCGCGGAAAATGTCTTAAGCCCAGGCTATACCATGTGCGTATTTGCTGTCCCATCTTGCTATTTGTGCGCAAGCTGATCTTCTTTGTGATTGTAGCTGCTTGCCATGAGCCTTCAAAAAGCGCCCTCTATTCACATTTCCGTCGTAGCCTCACTTATTGATCTAATTTACACACATGAACACCTAAGCACATCCATCGCAGAGCTCATCGAGTTGCTGTACTTTAAATATGCCAACGTGACATTTGCGGCAGATCTCATTAGTGAAATTGGAAAAATTTCCGTGCGAGACTCATCTAAAGACGTCGTTGGGACACGAAACATCGCCATGTTTCTTTCAAGTTTGTCTACTCTTACCCCTGCATTGATCATGAGCAATTTAAGTTTCGTACTAGCCTTATTGGATTCGGAAGCATATCAGCTCCGGAACGCTGCTGTGACATGCGTGACACAGATTTTGCTTTGGAACTTCCGCCAAAGTGGTCGACAAGAGCCTGAAGATGTTGCAAACTCGGTGCCGCAAACCGTAAATAAGTCTTGGCAGCAGGAAGAGATGAAAAGTAGCGATGATGAGGTAGATAAGAATACTTCTGACATCAAGGAAAATGAGGATGAGGATGGCACTAAGACAGACTCGAATGTTGACGAAGAGAACAGTGAAGAGGATAATGCAAATGGTCATCGTATATTCTCTCGCTCTACAAGAGATCAGCTCTTGAGCGTGCTAGAGGATCGAAGCTACGACATTAACTCGTTTGCGCGAGGCCACGTGCTAAAGATGTGGGCGCAGTTGTGTGAGGAAGGAGCTTTACCATTGCATATGCTCAAGAACGTGACTTTGATGGCTGTCGGTAGATTGCACGACAAAGCCGCAGTAGTTCGCCGTCATAGCATCCACCTTCTTTCCTTGTTACTGGAAAGAAACCCATTTATGGGGAATTTGAGTCGTCAATTTTACCAGAACAAGTGTGATGAGCTTACAAAAGACATGAAGAGGAAGCGGGATGAAGTGATTGCTGGCGCAGAAAAGGAAATAAGTGAAGCGATGGAAGAGATTGCTATTGTGCAAGAGAACATAAGCACTGCATTGTCAGTTCAATCAACAATGCCCTCAGTAGAGCATGCTGCTGAGCTCGAGAATGAGCTAAAGAGGACAGAGCGCCTGTTACAATTTTACCAAGACGCAATTGACTTTATCGACGTATTTGAGGTACAAGCCCTGCCACTGATGGGTCAACTAATCGGAAGCAAATCGATTTCTGATGTACTGGAGGCGATTCAATTTCTTGAAAAGGCATATCGCTTCCATCTTGGCGCTGCCCAGACCAGAATAAAAAATGTTTTGTCGCTGACGTGGCGAGCAGACCTATCTATCCAAGAACAACTGTCAAACACATTTATAAGTCTTTTCATCCGTATCGATGAAGACGACCCTGAGCGAAACTCACCACAACTGGTGGCTGAAAACCTTGTCAAGTTCTTAGATGAATGCACAGTTGCAGAGTACACATGTCTAGAACGAATTCTGGGGGAACTGCATCGTAGCCAAATGATGCCAATGGTTGTAATTACTTCTCTGTGGGGACTGGTGGATGTGACTGCGTATCCGGTCTCAATTGTGAGCAATGCATTAGCTCTGTTAAGTATGATTGCAAACGTTGATGACTCAATGCTTTTTGCCAACGATCGCCTCGGCCAAGTGCTTTTAATGGGTTTCGGGGATGTAGCATGTAGCCCAAATTCTCACTATCGTGTTCTTGGGGCGGCCTGTCGACTGGTTAAATGCATTCAACTGGAGCCTAAGATGGCGACTGCTCAGAGCAACAGCCAGACGCAGAGGCGTATTCAACGTTCAAATTTGGATGCGACGGAGCTGATCATCCTTCGCTTGCAGCGCTTTCTTGCCCTTGACTTCGTAGGTGACGAAGGTGTTGAGCTACAGTGTTTGCATTCTACGTGGTTCGACACCGTGCAACAGGCGATTGAAGCCATTTTCTCGATTTGTGAGCGTCCAGAGGACGTTTGTGGCGACGTCGTTAAACATTTATCTCTGCGTTTGTTTGAGAGCGAGACAAATAACGTATCTCGTGTTGAGCTTGCGCATTTTTTCTTCGTGTTGGGTCACTCAGCAGTAAAAGTTGCAATTCACGTGGAAAAGCTAGCTGCAAAAGTGAAAAAGATGCGCAGCAATCACACTGCTACAGTGAAAGCCACGTGTACTGCAGCTTCCCATTGCGATTCCGAAGACGTTTCTGCTATGGAAGACGAGCTGGGTGTGGCGGCAGAGGTCGAAGCCGAGGAAGATACGTTTGTGAATAATATCATCCAAAAAGAAATTGCTTGTCGTAATCTACTTGGATTGTATGGCCCTCTCATCATCCGTGTGTTGGTTGGAAATGAAGAAGAGTTTAGGCGTGGTGGCTTACTGACCGAATGTGCCGTAGTCGCACTCAGTAAGTTCATGGCGGTTTCAGAATTTTTTTGTGAAAAGCATCTTCAGCTATTATTCACAATTCTTCAGGACTCGCCACAGCCTTCAGTACGCGGTGATGTCATTATCGCACTAGGTGATCTCTCATTTCGATTTCCAAATTTGATAGAGCCGTGGACATCGCACTTGTATAATCGTCTACGTGATGTAAATCTCAACGTCCGCAAGAATACGATTGTGGTGCTTTCTCACCTTATTTTGAACGACATGATTAAGGTTAAAGGTCAGATTAGCGAGATTGCCATCTCTTTGGTCGATGAAAATGATGGCATTCGTAGTCTAGCCAAGCTCTTTTTCTATGAGCTGTCGAAAAAAGGAAACAATCCCGTTTACAACATGCTTCCGGACGCCATTGGTCAACTGTCGACGACGTATGTAACCTCTGTCGTTCTTTTATTGTGCCTTTGATTGCTTAATATCTTGTTCTGTCATTTGTTGTCGTTAGCGAGCTGCTGGCTAACTCGGACTTTCAGACGATAGCGCGATTTCTTATCAATTTCATCACGAAGGATAAACAGATCGAAAGCATTGTCGAAAAGCTTGTTCAGCGATTTCCAGCTGCTTCCAAAGTACAACAGCACCGCGATCTGGCCTACTGCATAGCGCGTTTGCCTCACACTGAGAAATCTCTGAAATATATGTATCAGAACCGCAAGCTCTACAGCGATGCCCTACATGATTCTGCAGTTGCTGATCACTTCACGTCTATGATTGCGAAAACAAGACGGGTCAAGAGCACGCTCGCATCGACAGCTGAGATGAAAGAAGCTATTGACAAAATGGACCAATTTGTCACTGGAAAGAAAGAGGGCAAGGAAGAGGTAGGTGATACGTTAAGTAGGGGACCTTTGGACTCTCTAGCTAATTGTTGTTGGTGCCAGATTGAAAGATTGGAAGACGAACCTTCGGAATGTAATGTCTCATCGCCGAAGGCAAAGGCCAAAGCGAAACAAAGAGTTTTCGCCAAAGCTGGAAAATCTACGCGAGCTTTATCAAAAAAGAGAGAGCGAGGGAAGCGTAAGCCAACACGCACAAAAAAAGCGATTGGCGTCGTAGACGAGCAATCGTCGGAAGAAGACAAGTAAATGCTGATATGTTTTGTTTGTTCGTGAGATGGTAATATTTTGTGCAGTACTCGCTATAAATGTTGTTTGAGTCGTGCACCCAACAATTCGTACCTTAAACAATCTAGGGTTTGGATGTATAAGTGGTGGCACTCGATAAGAAATTTCAGTACCGTTTTTATGTATGTGCCGCCTAGCTTGGAAAGTTAACAAATTGTATCCGGTGTTTTGGTAAAACATTCCATGCAACAGTTGCCAAAGATGACGCTAGAGCGATACATGTCATGAGAGTGGCACAGGACTGAAAAACTAAAGTGAAGAAACACACTATGGCAATTAAAATCTAAAGAACATGGAATTACTTCTGACGGAAAAAAAGTTAACGCTCTTACCACATTAAGCGATGTGGTAAATAATCCATTTTTTTCTTAACACATCTATTGCAGCTCAAGACGCGCAAGGTGCAGCGAGCTTACAAGGCCGATTGCGGGGTGAAACGAAGGACGAATGTACTTTTCAATCGGTGGCTGCTGGCCGTACTTATTTACTCGGGCCACAAACTTCTCACGAATGAGCTCGAATAGCTTTTGACGACGAGCAATGCCACCACCAATTACAATCACATCCGGAGACGTAATGAACGTCACGTTGACACATAGATTGGCTAGATAGTGGGCAATCGTATCCCATACCGGGTCATCGTCCGTTATATTGGCCAAGTCTCGCCTATCTACGCCCGTACGCTCAGCAATGGACCCCGCAGCCACCATGCCCTCAATACAATCACCGTGGAAAGGACACACACCCTTGAAGCCATTCTTTACGTCCTGCGGGGCAGGTGGTACAACAATGTGGCCTCCTTCGGGATGCATGAAGCCATGAATGGCATTTCCGTTTGTGCACACACCAACGCCAACACCAGTACCCACTGTGATGTATACGGCACTGCTGATGTCGCCGTGCCCACCGTACGCCACCTCGTAAAGTGCAGGGGCGTTCACGTCCGTATCAAAGCCGATGGGGACGTCGGGAAACGCACGTTTGAACGCACCCACCACGTCTGTGTTGCCCCATTTGGGCTTAGGTGTGCTTGTGATATAGCCGTACGTTGGCGATTTCTTATTAAGGTCGACGGGGCCGAATGATGCAATGCCAATTGAGTCGAATTTGCGCTCCTTCAGCCAGTCCACCACGGCGCCAATCGTCTCATCAGGCGTCGTCGTATCCACTTCAAATTTCTCCAAAATGTTTTCCGGATGATCTTCAGCGATGGCCGCCACCCATGTTGTTCCACCAACTTCAACTCCAGCGTAACGATGCATTTTGATGATTGAGACTGGAGAACTTGGTTGGTGCTGCAGAATTTAAAAATGAATCGCTTTCGTGACAATCTGGCGTGGTGTCAGCTTTTACAATCACGGTGTTTAAAAATACGCGTGGCAAGGTCATCTCTCCTTATCATAGTTGCTTGGACACAGACATTGATCAGTCAGTGACTGCAACGTTCCTACTTCAAGCTGCTAAAAGTATACATAGAAATGCAAATTACTATTCAGCTTATATTTTATTTTTAAGAATTTTTTGCACTGTCTGGCTCTCAGAAACAGACTTATTTATCTGATTCAAAAACAAGATTAGCACAGCCACAAATCACTCGTGGATATTATTAGGTAGGCAGGCTCATCTTCTAGTACTTGTAACAGCGACATTACATTGTTTAGGCACGAGATCGCGTGTCAATACAAATGTTACGCCTAATTTAGCGCTAGGCAAATTTTGCTTCTCATGTATTTATTACTCCATCATTGTTTATACATTTACAGGATGCGATGCCGATTTTTAGAATATTTCATAATTTCATTTGTAATGTTACAGGAATGGAGACCTTGAAACTTCTTATATCTCATTGAAAAGTTCATGTTCTCATATCTGCGTTTTGAAAAAAAAGCTGCTGTGCATCATTTAGCATACTGTAAAAAAACACAGAGCACGCTGGTCCTCGCTGACACATAGTGTGACCCCGCAACTTCTCTGGGCAATCAGCTGCTTGCACTTGAAGCACTTTGGATGTACGGTATGTAGATATCGTGGCGGAATTCGCAAAAATGCACTGTACGTCCGATAGACAGTCCATAGAAAACAAATAGTGGGTTAATGTTCTTCGTGCCCAAGCAGCTGATAACAGACGCACGTCGCCAGACGTCTACTGACATTAATTCACTCAGATTTAAGAGAAAGCTTGACTTTATTGCTGATTAGATTAATCGGCACGGCATAGACCTTTTGTTTATTAATTATGGTAGCATGATACAGTAAATAACAAAATACAGACAATACAAGCAACAGTCTGCGTATACAACGCCCAGGCTGATTCACACGCTCCACCAGGGGCGAAACTGAGAGATTCTTCATCTTAGTACATTGGTTGCTCTTCGAGACTCACATTTATTTTAATCAATTCTACTTGGGTTTACACTAACCATGACCACATTAATTTTCCGATATGAGAACTACTCATAGTGCCTAGCAGACGGTAGCGTTGCTAGAAAGGTGAAAGTCAGCTAATTGACTGATGTGTTATCGTAGCTATTGATAGTGTGGTGATAGTCTAGATTCGGACTGATACGTTATCCGAGCTGTAAATGATAATGCGATAGTCTGCAT